TGTAACATTATAAATGTCTTTAATGTCACTTTTGACATTTAATCTATCGTTGCTTAATAAAAGTATTAATTAGTAGTATTAGTTTCTTTTAAAAATGGCACTAACCCCAAAATGAAACAGTAGTGTACCTAGCTTTTGAAACACAAACCTTTATACATAACAAATCGTTTTTAATTCAAATAAATGAGATGCATTACAAATCTTTATGAATTACACTAGTCCTCAACAGATTATATATATATAAAAAAACAATTCTGTATCCATATCAGAAGAACAGACCATCAAATTAATGGCTCAAAAATCAAGAGATAAAAGTTGTTATTGTGATTGATATTACAGATAATGACATATCTATTTTCATGATCTGTTATCACAGTGGAAATGCAAGGCACTTTAACGAGAGATCTCTCAAGAGTAAGGCAAACACCCACTGAAGCACACTACATAAGAAGTGTGCTCTCTCTTTCTGCCAGTGTTCTATAGTTACTGTTCTAGCAGATTGATTAAAAGTAATTGGTGACTGTTAGTCTCTCCTGCGTGTCATTGCATCTTGGGATTTTGCTCTAGGGCTTTCATCACGGTCCAGGGTACTCGAAAACTGCAGCCGCTCCCATTCCAGTCCCAATGCACATGGACACCACGCCATACCCTCTGCAACAAAAAAACATTAGAAATGGGAACAGGGATTGTCGTCTTTTTTGTTGCTGTATTATAGTTACTAATAGTTAATCTGTATTAAGGCCCTATGATTTCCACAGTGTGGAAAACGTAGATGGAACCACGAATGCAGTCATAATGTAGTCATTATATGAGTAAAAAATGGGATTTGAAAAAAAAAAAAAATTACGGAAAACATAGGACCCTACTGTATGCTGTTTTATGTCCGCTCACCTCTTGCGTCTGCGTTTGAGCTCATTGAGCAAAGTCACGACCTGTCGAGCACCAGTGCATCCCAGTGGATGACCAAGAGCAATGGCCCCTCCATTAGGATTCACTTTCTCCATAGGAATGCCCAGCTTTTCCACACAATACACAGCCTAGGATAATTGTGAAAGTTGCTGATATTAATAAAAGGAAAATACTGGAAAAACTGGGGGTAATCCAAAAAAAATGGATCAGTCACCTGACTGGCAAATGCTTCGTTGATCTCAAACACATCAATATCATCCACAGTTAGTCCTGCACAAGCAAATGCAATAACACGGCTCGATTCCTATCAATTTTTCAAGCATGATTACTAGTATATAAATAGCTCAAATGAACGTAGAGGTACTGTAAGAGCAGCTGTACTCTCACCAGCCTGGTTTAGGGCTTCTGGGATAGCATAGGCTGGGCCGATGCCCATTACGTCTGGTGGAACACCCACCACAGCACTCGCCCTAAGCACCCCAAAAACAGGAAGTCCCAGTATCTCCACCGTAGATCTCCGCCCAATGAGCACTGCCGCAGCACCGTCACTCACCTGACTGGCATTACCTGCAATGGGAATGAAAGAATTGAGTAATGGAATTTACCATCCTCTTTTTTTTTTTTCTTCACAAAAATACCAGCTGTGGTGCTGCCGGTTTCCTTGAATGCTGGTCGTAGTTTGGCAAGGCCTTCTAAGGTAGTCCCAGGGCGGATCCCATCATCCTTTGTGACAGTAATCCTGCGCTCAGTGCCATTTTCTTCCACAAATTTAGTAGTGACTGGTGTGATCTCTTGATCAAATAAGCCCTTTTTCTGCGCCATGGCTGCCCTAGTGTTATAAAAGTCCACAAACAATTGGTACTTTAATAGAGTTGCTTTGAGTGCATTTTTTTTTTTGTGCATGTTTTTTTTAAACCATTCATAAACATCATGGGAGCACCTACTTTTGTTGGGAACTGAGTGCAAAGCTGTCCTGTTTTTCTCTAGTGATGCCATACCTCTCGGCAACATTCTCTGAGGTTATTCTGAAAGGAAACATACCGAAAACAGAGGAAATAATGTTTTTTTTTTTTAAACGTAAATATTAAAACACATTATAAAAGAATAACATCTATACCCCATGGGAATGATGCAGTCACTGGCTTTCTCATTGTCCATCAGTCGGGGGCTGATGTCTCCTGGGTCCTCTTGCAAACGAAGGGACATGCTCTCCACACTGTCATAAAAGAGCAAGAAGAAAGAGGTGAGTTAAACAATTCTGATTTAATCATTTAAAGACATGAACTACCAGTCTAAAGTTAAATCTTTGTGAAATAAGAAAAAACACAATGGTTAATACTATGGTATGATCAACAATTATAAATGTGGCATACTAACCCACAGGCAAGTCCCAGGTCATACGAACCTCCTCTGATTCCACCTTAAAATGTGTAAAAAAAAGTCTGTTTTAACTGTAATCTTGTATTTTCTTATGCTGCAGCCAAAAATGTGCCATTTTACTGCTTAAATATAATTCTTACCCGCAACATTAAAAAGGGCCTGTAGTCCAGAAGAGCACTGCCTGTTTACAGTGTAAACCGGTAAAGATTCTGGGAAGCCACTGAAAGTTGAACAAACTTGAATTTTACAGTCAATTCATATGTTTAGCAATATCTTGATTTATTAGGAATTCTTTGCTCATTTTACCTTAAAAATTGACCGATTCGAGCCATAAGTGCTCCTGCCCCTGGTTGTAGAACATTACCTGAAAAACAGCAGTCAGTAAGTGTAAGCTACTCTTCATATATGATGTAGTGTTTTGTTCAGACTGGCTGTCATCTGACTTACCAACACAAACATCCCCTAGTAAAGAGGGTTGCAGTCCCACATCCTTAAGAACTGCACTCATCACTGCACTGAGAAGCTCATCTGGGGTAGTGTCCTAAAATGTAGAAATATTATATATGTAGAAGCACTTTAATAGAGAATGCAGTGAGTGTCACTGTCAAGCAGTCATGCAGGCCCACCTTAAAAGATCCTCTCTTCGCCCGGCCGATGGCTGTTCGGAGCCCATGAACCACAACGATATCATTTGGATCAGCAGCTGATGCGTTGCACTGCCTCATTCCAACGCGTTTATTTGACGACAGATGTCCCGACAAAACTTGCACTCTGTGCATTTTTAATTACGAAAATAAAAGGATTTTTAGGATAAAAGGACGTTTATTGAGATGTACACATACGGCAAACAGTCACTAATGTGTGAACTATGCTCTACATTTCTGATTACAGAATGTTTCCTGGTGAACCTTGCTTCTCTGGTCACACTGTTTATCATTGGCTAGTGCCTTCTGACGTCATCGTGTGGGATTATGGGGGATGAAGTACACAGCCATCTATCTATCTATCTATCTATCTATCTATCTATCTATCTATCTATCTATCTATCTATCTATCTGTCTCACTGTAAAAAAATATTTTCAAGATTTGTTATCACAACATTTTTTCTTTTGTCAAATCAACTTAAATTATTTATTTAGTTCAGATAACTTATTATTTTGAGTTTCTGATGATTAAATCAATTTCCTTCATTGTATTAACTCTGTTTATCTATCTATCTATCTATCTATCTATCTATCTATCTATCTATCTATCTATCTATCTATCTATCTATCTATCTATCTATCTATCTATCTATCTATCTATCTATCTATCTATCTATCTATCTATCTATCTATCTATCTATCTATCTATCTATCTATATAATTGTAGTAAAAGTATTTTAAATTTACTTTTCTACTTTTAATGCCTAAAATTAGTTAATTTTTTATGTGTTCTACCTGTTTGCAACCATCTAAATGTTTATAGGCTAATAAGCTTAATATGCAAAATTCACCTTTACATGGCGTTTAAACATAAATGTGTGTCAGCAGTGTGTGTACACAACCACCCTATAATGGTAAAAATCCACCCACTCCTCTTTTTTTAATTACCATAAGCAATAAGCAGAGCAAGCCTTTTGCAGATCCTATATGTCATGTCACATGTAGGCCCCACTAACAACTGCTGACAGGCTCTGCCCTATTACAGCACACCCCGAGTGAGCTGTACAGTCTGCCTTGAGCATTTAACAGAAATGTATCCTTAATAGCTACTAAAGTTATTCAATCAAGAGCAGTGAGTTATTTTCTATGTTTCTTTTGTTTGATTCATCGTAGGTAGACCTACTGTATATTATGCTGCTTTCACTTTAATAAACAGATCTACACATGCAATTTCTTTACTTGCTGTTTACGTTCACAGACATAAGAAACCGACTGTTTATGGGATCTTTGTTTAACATAACCTTGTGTGTGTACAGTGTAGGTTACTTTGTGACAGTTTAAGTGCAATAAGATGTAAAGGTGAACATAGTTTATTATTCTGGGGACATGCTGTTCTGTGCATGTCATGTGTGTGCTCAGAAAATCAGAAGTTTTGACTGATATGGCTTTAAAACACATGCAAATAATAAACTTTCATGATACTGAATTTCTGCAATGTCATGCGAGCGATAGAAATTATGGTATCCGAGGCACGGGCTGTCAATAAGGCTCTGCTCTCTTCTGGATAGGGAGGTGGGGAGCAGCCATATTGTTTTACCTTCCACTCAAAAATGGGTATTTACAACATGGTATAGTAAATTAAGTATTTAAACTGAAACTTCACAGACACATTCTGGGGACACATGAGACTTATATTACATTTTGTAAAAAGGGCGTTGTTCCCTTTAAACGTGCAAAATCACATAAATCAGGGTTTTAAGCTTTTTCGACATGCCACATATGTTTGACATATTTTCAGATCTCATACAATTATTCTAAAATTAGTCGAAAATAAGGCTAGGCCTACTGTTATTTTATAGTAGCCTATTGATGTTTCCAATATTTTAGATCGAACTCCTAAATCATGATTAACATTATCTGCAACTACTTTTACCACCCACTTGTTGAAAAGGGAAAAGGAAAGCACTTTATTTTCTAGGAGTTTCAGGCCTATTATTGTACACATTTCGACATTTCGTAAACGATTTTAAGTACAGTCGGCAGAGGGCGCCACAATCTCGTACAGCGGCAGCGAGTCTGAAGCACGCGCGTCATCGCTTCCTGAGGCTGACATTACTCTCACTCGACTCGCTCCTCTGTGGAAAAACTCGGCGTCAGTCAATGTTTGCGGAGAGGAAACTTTCTTCCTTTGACGGCGCACAGTCGACGAGATTTGCAGCTTTCCCGAGCACAAACCGCTCGCTCCGTCTGTTTGGATTACTGGCATCTGCGACTCCAAAAAAACATAAACCGGAAAGATTTTCGGAAGGTGGATTTGTGAGGTTCCCCTCAATTTGCGCGTGACAACTGTATATTCAAGTGCGCGCGGCTTCCGGATATATCAACGTTTTTACTGTATCTTTCGGACAAGAGCTCAGTTTGCGGAATTTTCCTCTTCACTGCGTTTAAACCCAGAAAACTGCTCGCTTTGAAACGCAGGTTGGTTTAATTTGTCTTAAGTGTCAGCTCCAGTATGAAGATACGCACGTAAGGTGAGTTCTTTGTAGAATAATAATGACTGCATTTATATTAATGGTGGTGTGCAAAGATTTGCTACAGAGAGTCAAATGCAATGTGTTAGTCATACATTAGGCATTAGACACCAGTTCAAAAACTAGGCTAACTTACTACTATTAAAGAAACGTATTCTGAGTTTATGTTGTGTTTTGTTTAGGCAGAACTTTACCACTGTGAGTTACGAATACATATAATTCAGGCTATATGACATTTGTTAATGTGACCTCCTGAACCTACTTGGATAACACTGTATAGCGTTATTAAAACTCTTAAAATATTTGTTTCTATTTATGTTTAGTAGGCCCTGTAGTCTATAGCGAATAAGACACATTTTTCTTGAAATCTCAAAATAATAACGTCTTAATATATGTTGGGTTTTGGCTATGAAAAAGTAACAGGGTTGACCGTTTTACTCTTCATCTAGCTACAAGATGTTTATTAAAAATAATTTGATATATATATATATATATATATATATAGATAGATAGATAGATAGATAGATAGATAGATAGATAGATATCTCAGTAATAATTTGTTTAATTAATGGTAACAGAGTTGACTGATTTTTGACAAATTAGAATGGAAAGTGTATTTGATGTTCTTAAGAGCATAAATTTTGGAATTTATGGAATTTAACATTGTTTTTAAAAAGGGGGAATAACCTTAGTACACAAGTAGCAGTGTTGACTGTTTAAGATCTCCTCTTACTGACAAACTTGGATAATAAAATGAAATGATTTTAAAATAAGACCTTGAAGAGAACGGATAAAGGGGAGTTATGATGTCAATCTTTTTTTTTACAGTCTATGATGTCAACATGGTGGATGGATAACCTAGTACACAACATAACTTTGTAATGTCAACTAAAGCATGAAATTATATATTGAGTACTAGTTTTGTTTTCTTTTTTGCAATCAAATTGTGCATAAACCCTTGATAAAATAAGACATTATATAAAGTTAATATTATATATTAACAAGGGGCACAAAACGCACCCCTTTCATGGAATGACAAAGTTATAGCTGGTTCAACTATAGTTAAATATATCTAAAGCCATATATAAAACTGATATCAATAGGGATGCTAATGTAGACATACAGATGCTATAATATAGTAGGAGATCAATGAAATGTGCTGGCCTGCTTTTTTCTTCTTGCACTCTTCCTTAAAGTCACTCTGAAATACTTGAGTTTACATTTGTTTACTAAAGATCCCCCTATGATTATGATTATGAGTCATTGAATATTTTTGCAATGTGCACATTCTGTCTCAGCCAAGCCTATGTTTAAGAATGTTTCTCATGGCATGAGGAAGAAATCTAGATGAACTTTGCCTTCATTGCAATGTTGACTGAGTTTTTGTTTTAAACTAAGAAACAAACCTAGTCTTACTGAGTCATAATACTCACCTTGCAGTGATCCACATACGTACATAGCCTAGCCTATTACTGATATCACGTTTGCTGGAGATACATTCCATAGAAATGCAAGATGAGTTGGATGGGATCATCTGAGTTAACTGACCTTAAAGTTTATCATCTTTAGACAGGCCTGCTGCACTCTCTCGTTGCCAAATCTCAGGGTTCATGTTTATACGCTCTGGTTTAGGAGCATCTGGACAGGATATTGAATTCGCCCTCCCTAGTAATGCAAGAAAAAATGATTAGTCTGCCAGTTTGATCATTAGACCCCTAAAGATTCAAGTATTCAGAAAATGTGTTCACTTGCCATCACACACAAGTCTTCTTCATGTCCAATGGAAGATCTGTCCAGCGCAGACAGGAATATTTCGAGGTAGATATGTTGGCTTAATTTCACCCTGACTCATATTTTTGGGAATCCCTAAAGGACTATTTTGGCAGAGAGACATTAAAACCTGTGTGTGATGAATGACCTCCTTAGATTAGGATGTCGGATAAACGTGGTATTTTATCCTGTTCCCGTCTGTTTCATGGCTGTAAGTCAAAGTGTTGTCTGGTCAGCCACAGATCTTCATGATGGATCATTAGTTTTGGGCCTAATCTCGGCGCTAGCCGACTAGACACAGAGGAAATCACAGCGGTGTTATCACTTGCTTGAGTGATTGGACACGCACACGCCAAAGAGCCAAGGGCCAGGGGTCAGTGTGATTTGAGCGGCTCCTGCGGGCTCTTTCTCTAAAGCTGTGGAAAGAACAGAGTTGGTGCTTCTCCTCGAGTTCAATTTTGATAAAGAAAGAAAATCTGTCTGAGTGTAAGGCATCAAAGTGTCTAAATTTGGGTCAGGGTTTTCCAGTTCAGAACTGGTCTATTATCCGTAAAGTGTTCATCGAAGATACCATCCAGTTAGTGTGTTAATTAGAAATAGTTTTCTTGGATAGCGATAACACAAGTTGCATTCGAGGGTTTCTTATCTGCAGTAACTTCATCCCGTTAAGCACTTTGGTAGTTCCCTGTTTTAATGAGATGAAAGGAAGCCCTTTAATTAGGTCCTGTGTGTGTCTGACAAATTGAAGTGCAGGTGAATTGCCCTTATCGGAATGAGTGGGAGAAGCACTTACCAAGATTCGAGATTGAACTATATTGTATTATGACCAACACAACACAGATTATTTAGACTTTTATTTTCTCCAAAATATTGCCTTTATTCAGATTATTATTTTGCGTAGTTGTCCAGTAACCAGTTTTATTCTATTTCTGCTTTTTAACATTTTTAAAAAATAATTAACAATAATTAATAATTGTAATGAAAATGTGATTTTTGTTTTTTAATAACTTATAATATATATATATATATATATATATACTTATTATATTATATTTAAAATAAGAATGTATTCAAATTTTTTTTACATTTTTATATATACTTTTATATTTTTATATAAGTAAATTTTTATTCACAATATCGTTTCAAAGCAGCTTTGCAGAAATGCATAGTTACTGTTTTTATATTATCGTAATGCATATTTGTCCACATTTAGCAGTTTATAGATGAGCATCATGATAGTTTGCATATGTTGATGATATAACAATCAAATAATTTTCTTTAGAATTTTTTTTTATCGCTTTATGTAGGTGCACGGTGTATGCCGATAGCGCTCTGTAAATTTTTATGGTGGATTTTATTATTATTGAAATATGTTGCTTGAGGTTTACATATAATGTTAATGTTTTTTATTCAAAAAAACAAATGTAAAATGCAGAAAAATGATTATTTTCAACCCTCATTCTGACCCTCTGTCTGAAATGATCCGTTCCTTTAAGGCTTGTTAGTAAAAGGCCACTGTTATGATTGGATGACATCATCCGTATAAAACCATTTACAGACTCATTTTTACTTGTGATTTGTGATGTAACTGCTGTCAGATACAATACTGCTGTTAATTAGCGGCTTCATCGTTTAACAAAAGTTTCTTTGCAAATCTCTATTACAATATGCCTCATTTACCAAATAAAATGCTCCGAACAAACATATAATCGTCCGACGTGATCCGGGACACCATTAAAATAAACTATCTACTTGTTTCCGGCACTACATCCTTCTGAAGTACAGGGACGCAAACAAACAAGCTGTTTAAATTGGAACAATATTTCACTCTTTTTCACTCAAAGCGAACATTATTTCACTCTTTCATTTGTCCTGTTGTCGACAGACTCAAATGTGTTAATTATGTCAGAAACTGAACGGACCTATGAATACTATGTATATTTGTTTAAAATGAGAGAGGCCTTTAAACATATGAAACTTGCAGGATGTTTTAATGGTACAAAGACCTCTTATGTGTCAAAAGAGCTATATAGTAGTTGCAAAAGGAATCAAAAATCACCATGATGCAAGGGTGTTGCTCTGCTGTTTCTAAGGTGTTCTGAGTGACTTTTTAGTACATTGCTATGTGATTGCTATGTGTTCAAAATGATCCCATCTCCTCCAAGTCTATGATAATCTGGTTCCTATAGCAGTTGTTCAGGTCTAATGAAATTCAACAGTGCTTCTCCTTAAAGGAGAACTCCGATGCAAAATGAACTTTGGTCTAATAAAACATCGGTACCTTGTCGAACATTCTCTGAGATTTGTTTTCATGATAATCGAATGTAAAGAGTTTTATTTAAGTTTAATGCTAGTATATGGGGGCATATAATAAGTAAAAAGAAATCGCTAGTTAATACCACTAACAAGGCTCAAAAAGGCCCCACACTAACACAGTAACATAATGAGGGTCCCTGCATGCAAAACGAAGCATTGAGAACTTTGTAAGTGTACAGACCGTTTAATAAGAAGATACTTTATAAAGACAGTCCACTTTGTGTATACAGGCAGGAGAAAACAGTCTCGACAAGTCGAACCACGAATGCTGTTCATACAGTTCAGAAGTTCGCTGAACTTCATACAGTTGAGTTCAGCTCACTTGGCACGTCGTTCGTGGTTTGACCTTTTCCAAAGATGGCTCTTGCTGTGTATACACGAAGTGCACTGTCTTTATAAAGTATCTTCTTATTAAACAGTCTGTACACTTACGAAGTTCTTCAATTTTTAGTTTTGCATGCAGGGACCCTCATTATGTTACTGTGTTAGTGTGGGGCTATTTTGAGCCTTGTTAGTAGTATTAACTAGCGATTTATCTTTACTTAATAAATGCCCCCATATACTAGCGTTATACACTAAACGGTTTTTAGAGATTACATTTTTTACATTTGATTATCATGAAAACAAATCTCAGAGAACGGTTAACTAGGTACCAAATTTTTATTAGACCAAACAAAGGTTCATTTTGCGCCGGAGTTCACCTTTAACAAGCCACACGATTTGAGGTATCATTGATGTTGGTATAGCATGAATGATTCTGGATGCGTGATGTGTTAAAAACCCCAACCCTTTAAGTAAATACAATAGTAGTGATGCTTGGCTTTTAAAGTTTCTTCCATTTTATATAAGAGATCACTGTAATCACCCTGAATGCTGTGTGTTATTTTTGTTCAGTGTCATGTGTAACTTGGGCA